AGGGAAGGGCTGTCCCCACTCACCTTGATGTGGTCGGCCAGCTGCAGGGTGCAGTCCTCAGCCTGGTCGGCCAGGTGGATGCTGTACAGGTGCTGTGGGAATGGCAGGATGAGTATCCACATGTGGAAAAACTCAAAAAAAACCCCCAAACTTCGAGGGCTCAGCCCAGTTTTTAAATGGAAGTAACAGTGCCCCAAAAGAGCTGCTGGTCCTAAATTCCATGCCCCATGTGGGACGGGACAACATGTGTTTCCACACATGGAAAAGCTCAAAAAAACCCCCCAAACTTCGTGGGTTCACCCAGTTTTTAAATGGAAGTTAACAACAGCACCCCAAAAGAGCTGCTGGTCTTTAATTCCACAGGGAATGTGGGATGGGACAACTGCATTCCTCAGGGACACAGAGCAGGGGACAYGACACCCACAGGAAAAGGCCGCCAAAAGGAGCTAAATCCCAGTGGATCCATTCCCAAGGGCTGGATATCCCCCAGGTGAGGTGGCACCTGTCCCCAGTGTCACCCCCAGCCCCACCTGGTAGTATTTGATGGCTTTGGTGAGCGGCTCCACGTTGACGGTCTCGTCCAGCTGGTCCTTGTGGAGCAGCTCGATCAGGAAGTCCAGGGAGCGCTCGTGGACACTCATCTCGGGGTACAGGGTCCCCACTTTCTTGTACACGTCCACACTGCACCGGTTCAGGGCCCTGAGGGGATGGGGACAGTGGGTTTAGCAAGGGGCTGGGTGCATTTCTGGGCAGAATTTGGAGAATTCGGAGCCCTGAGGCGCTGCTGGCCTTAGGACAGGAGCATGGGTGCAACCTGGTACTGGGGGGCTGGGACCTTCCCAGAAGGACAYGAGGAGGGCCATGGAGAAGTGACCCCTCACAAGGGAATAAGGGGATCCCTCTGGATCCCAAAATTCCTTCATGTACCACCTGTCAGGAGGGACACAGCAATATGAAAAGGAAAAGGATCCTGCTGCTCTTTTCTAGCCTGGCTCCCAAAATTCCTTCCCATGTCACTGTTTGAGAGAGACACAGAGATGCCAAAAAGAGGGGATCCTGTTGATTTTTTCTAGCCTGGCTCCCAAAATTCCTTCATGTACCACCTCTTGGGAGGGACACAGCAATATGGAAAAGAAGGGGATCCTGCTGCTCTTTTCTAGCCTGGTTCCCAAAATCCTTTCCCATGTCACCTCTTGGGAATGACACAGAAGGTCACAGAGCAGGGAATCCTTACAAGGGAATAAGGGGATCCTGCAGTTTTTTTCTAGCCTGGCTCCAAAAATCCCTTCCCACGTCACTGCTTGGGAGAGACACAGAGATGCCAAAAAGAAGGGGATCTTGTTGCTTTTTTCTAGCCTGGCTCCCAAAATTCCTTCATGTGCCACCTTTTGAAAAGGACACACACAGAGGTCACAGAGGAGATCCTGCTGGTTTTTTTTTCCAGTCTGACTCCCAAAATCCCTTCCCATGTCACCCCTTGGGAAGGACACAGATCACAGAAAAGGGAATCCCACCCCTTTTTTCTATCCTGGCTCCTAAACCCCTTCCCATGTCACCTCTTGGTGGGGAAGGACACAGAAGGTCACAGAGCAGGGGATCCTCACAAGAGAATAAGGGGATCCTGCTGCTTTTTTCTAGCCTGGTTCCCAAAATCATTCCCATGTCACCCCTTGGGAAGGACACAGACAGGTCACAGAAAAGGGAATCCCACCCCCTTTTTCTATCCTGGCTCCTAAACCCCTTCCCATGTCACCTCTTGGTGGGGACACAAGTAGGGCCACAAACGACTCTGCCACAAGGCCATAAAAGCGATGGCACCGCTCTTTCCCARCCCAGCTCCCCAAATCCCTGGAACTCCATCCCAGGGGTACTCACTGCTCATATTTGTGGAGTGTGGCCTGGAGCAGGCTCAGGGAGTACACGAGGCCGGCGGCGAAGCTGAGCTGCTCCCCCGGGGCCCCGCGCAGCCCCGCGCGCTCCGCGCAGCTCTCGCTCAGCTCAAACCTCTCCTGTGCCTGTTTGCTGATCAGCTCGGCCTGGGGGGAAAGGGAAATCCTTTAGGGCATCCCGAGTTTCCCTGCTGTGTCCCACTCAGCCACTCCCCACTCCCAAAAAAACTGGGGGGTGACCCACCAGCACTGTGGCTGAGCACTCTTGACCGCTGAGCTGCCACCCCCATGGGCAGCGGCTGCTTCCTCCCCTTCCCTTCTCCCAGGACATTTTATAATGGTGGAATCATG